GGGGGGGGGGGGGGGGGGGGGGGGGTGCAGCTCCCGCCACTGCACACCATTTGTCCAGAGGCAGCTCAGCAGCTCCACCCTGTGCCTGTCCCAGACAGGGCAGGCAGCAGAGCGGGGGCTATGGGGGGGCTGCAGTGCAGCTCAGTGCAGCCCTGGCCTTGCCCACCCCGCCTCATGCAGATCTGGGGGCACACACCCCCTCTCAAGCCCTCTTGGACCATTGGCAGGAACAGTGATGGGAACCGTTAGTCGAGCCACCAGGCAAGCAGTGCACAGCAGCAGGAACTGCCACCTACCCCTCCCCGCAGGGAGCATTGATCTGCACCCCCTCACCGCAGGGGGCATTGATCTGCCCTCCACCACACCCCTTCACTTTCCTCCCCCCTTCTACCACTTACTAGCTGCACACAGTATCAACTGTTGTAAATGAACCAATTCCCCATTTGTAACACTTGTTCCTATGGAAAAATTGGTCCCAACTTGCAACATTTCTACTTAAAACATGGTTTTCAAGAACCAATTGCATCATAAGTCCCAGGACTGCTTGTATAATACATTTTGGCAGCATTCTTTCCCACACTTGTGGTTGGCGCCATTTATTTCTGAACTCCCTTGGACAAACATAACAGGCCTTACATACCTCTTCAAAATCATCGCTGACCCATAAAGGAATAGGTGTTCCCCAGTATCGGTTTCTGGATATAGCCCAGTCACGGGCTTCTTTCAACCAGTTTCCAAAACGCTTCTCTCTCACAAAGTCAGGAACCCTGCAGAGAACATTAAAAACAATTTGCTTATTAAATCTGACCAAAGGCTTCCAGGAGGATAATAGGCAACTGCCATATTCATACCACCATTTTAAACTGAAGTGATTAATTAATAGAATTTGGCATGCTTGGACTACAGAGATATAAAATTGGCAAGGAACTTAAATTATTTTCTTTTTGGCTTTTGGAAAAAAAAACTATTATTATTTTTGTCCTTCCTTTAGATCTTCAAATGCATTGTATCAGTGCAAGGGTATTTATTATTCAAAGTAATTTTCTTAAGATCTGTATATAGTTTGACTAAACATATGGATATCTATTGTACCTGTGCAGAAGGTAACTGGCACATTTACTGCTTCCCTGGGTTGCCTTAACTCCTGCTAGTAACTTTTCAAAATAAGACTAAAAAGCATTATCCCTCCTCTACCATAAAATGTCTTCAATAAAAGTAAGCTGATACTAATTACAAATTTTTCCCAAAACATCAATGGTTTAGAGTTTTGTTTTTCTCATGCATTAGCATCTTGTATCAAGAGCCATCATACAATGCTACATACGGACATTGTGGGCAGCTGTTTAGCATTCAGTCAGTTTCTACTTTCAGGGTCAAGGTACCATTTACAACATCATCATTGTACAAGATGCTGTACAATTTGTGTCCTTGAGAACAAAGTTCTGGACTAACAGATTCTCGAACAAAGCAATGGCCTTCCCTTACTCTCAGCACAGCCACTAATTCTTCCCCCGCCACCCCCAAAAAAAAGTGTAACCAGTAGCAATACTGCTTTTAGACTTCACTTGTTTCAAGTCATTAATGGGCTTTAGGAGTTGTTAAACTACAAATTCACAGAATTCAAAGATGATGAAAGCCTCCAAGAAAGACTACTTGGATATGCTAAACAGAACGTCGGTTAACTAGCGATTGTTCATTTTCTGTGAAAATGAACAGAGTGTTTAATTCAATCCAAGTATCAGTGAAGTTATCTGGGATAACACTTTTTCTTGGACAAGCTAATTTGAGTTAATTGCCTTTCAACCCAGGAAAAAGTGCAAAGGGCTAATGCCACTCCCAGGTGTTATTCCCATCAGCCAGAATGAACTCTAATGCAAAGTCAGTATTTAGCCCCAAGCTTCAGAATCTTTCAGCATTACCAAAAGCTATTAAAAATAATAATGTTGCACTGAAATATACTGTTTTAAGACAAATGTTATACATAAGCAAATTAGATTGTTAAAATAATTAGCAGCATAAGGTTGTAGATACAAACCTGCCCAGAATTGCCTGGCCTTTCAAATTACATTCAGACTAATATTTAAAAACACCTACATAACCCTAGAGCCTACATTCTGAAGAGAAAAAGGCAGTTAGAAACTTGGTAGCCAAACATCTTTAAAAATATACCATAGATACTTCTAAAATTTCTACTATCCCTAAGTTTATCTGTGTCCCACAAAAACACCACAGTGCAGATGCTCCTCTAGCCCTACTCCCCAACACTCACCCAACTATTTCAGACTAGAAGCAGCTAAGTAACTATTTACATATTACCCATGTGTCTGCAACTCAAAAAAGCCTTTGCATGTACAGAAGTTAAAACATTCTATATCCAGATGTACAGAAAAAACAAACCAAAATTTTCCTTTTCTTGATCTAAGAGACTTCACATATTAAAGTGTTAATGAAGCAGAAATTGCAAGACTTAATGATCAATACAAAGATTTGCTGATGACTTTCAACTGCCGAAGGCTTTAAGATTTTTGAACTGAGAGAAACTAGATTATGATATACTTCAAAGACCTTAGTCTGAATTTTGATTATACATGTGTGTTTATATAATTGGTTACAAAACATACACATTCCCAGGTTTGCTCTTTTTATACAGCATTGAGGCAAACAAATGGAGCAATTGTATCAGCAATTGCTCAAATTGAACAATCATATCAAGAAGTACAATTGCTGATAGGCTTATTCATCCAAATGCAATCAAACACCATACAGGTTTCCCTCGCTTTATGCTGTACATACATTCCTGGAAGACGGCGCATAACTCAAATTTGCATAAAGCAGTGGTCACCAACCACCTCCCCCAGCTCAGCAGGTCACTTGGTGGGGAAGGGAAGGGGTGGAGGCTCGGGAGGCGCATGCAGCAGGGCTCGGGGCACAAAGCCCAGCCAGCAGCGGGAGCCGTACACAGATGTGGGGGCTGTCTCAGCAAACCTGGGGCAGTGCTGGTGGCTGCAGCTCTGAGGTAGGTAGTGGGGCTGGAACAGGGGCAGGCCCTGCACAGCCAAGCATGGGATGGGGGACAGAGCCACAAACAGCTTCTCTGGGGGGCACCTGCCCCTGGATCTGCCCGCAGAGTGGGATGGGCTGCTCCCACCCAGGATGTGCTCGGGCCTGGTGGCAGTAGTGGCACTGCGAGCAAGGCCACAGAGAGGGGCTGGAGCTCCCCTCAACCCCTGGTTCCCGAGCCGCAGCCACCCACCCCAACCACAGAGCAGGCCAGGCCTGGCGAAAACAGTCTGGTGTAGCCTCCCAGCCCACAGCTGCAGCCCACACTCCCCCATGCCCACCAGCCCCCCAACCCCCATGTCCTGGGGGGGAGGGGGCGGGGAGGAAGGAAAAGGTTGTGCCAGGCTGTTCCCACCGGGCCTGCCCCGTGCTGCACTTACGGCAGGGGGCTGTGGCTCTGGGGGCGGGGGGTGGGAGGG